TTCCCCGGCTACTTGCAATTCCGAGGGGGGGACGGTAGGGGGCGCTGGACTCTCGGCCTGCCTGCACCTTGCAGTGCCCAGGATCACCTGTGAGGGGCGTTGCGTCGTGGGTTATATGGCCGGACTCGCCAGCTGGTTTCTTTGGCCGGGCGTGGTGGAGGCTCTCTTGAGCAATGGGCTGGGGGGGGGCTTGTCTTTCTGGTTTCTGGGGAGGAGCCCCTTGCTCTGCTCGGACCTCTAAAAAAGATGCTGGTGGTGGAGGTGGGGGTGGGATTGTGACAGGAAAGCGTTTCGGGCTCCTTTAAGGACCAGCCTTTGGGGCAAAGTAGAGGTAGGAGCCGGTGATGAACCAACCCGTGAGGGGAGGACCGGAGGGTGAGAAAGCTCAGAAGACCAGTAGGAAGGCTTTTGGGAGAATTTCCCAGTATGGACTACTATCTGGTCTAGAGCCCCCTATGGACGGCAAACGTAATTACAGTGGGATTGTGCTATGTTGGAAAAGCCAGCGATGAATCGGAAAGCCAAAACTTGTAATGCACATATTGTTGCAGTTGTGTGCCATTCAGTTGGATCTGACTTATGAGGACGCTATGAATTGGTGACTTGGGAGAGGTCCTCTCATTAGGAGTCCTGTTCAGCTTTGTAACGTTGCGTCCACGTCTCCCTTTATTGGGTCAATCCGTCTCATCCCCAGTCTTCCTCTTTTCCTGCTGCCCTCCATTGTTCCCGGCATAATTGTTGTTTCTATTGAGTCTCTTGTCTCCTCCTGTGAAATACAAAGTATGATCTCACCTGAGCCCACTGGTTTTTAGCTTCGACTCAGAATTCAGGCTCGATTTAATCTAGAACCCACTTATTGGTAAACGTTGGGTTAAGTTTGTCTGTGGTTTGTCTAAGTGTGTTAAATTTGATGGAACGCATGAAAGAATAAAAAAGCAGATCAGGTGGCAAGGTGCTGGAATGAAGGAAAAGAGAAAAGGGAGGTAAATTCAAAACCCAACAGATCGTTGGCATTTTCAGCGCTCTCGGCCGATGTGAAATGCCTCGTCCTTCTTCCTTTAGGTAAATATTTCACAGCCCTTGGCTCGCTCCTTGGGTTCAGAAATATTTATGTGGAATACATCCACAAACTACTACACCATTATCCGGCAAAATATTGCTCTGCTGTGCTTAAGATGGCATTGGCGTGGGGAGAAGTTCTTCAAAAGGGCCGATCTTTCTGTGGTCCATAGGACTGTTTTGCTGTTCTTCTTATAACATCAGCAGGGCAGGAACCTTAAGTGTCACAAATTGCTCGGCCGCCCTGCGTCCTCCCACCCTTCCGTCTCAGAGGCTGTAAAGCGAGCAGCCGTTCGGGGAGAGAAATGACCCAGCTTAATTAAACCATGATGCCCACACAGTGTCCCTGGCCCAGCAGAATGCAGAAAGATGGCCACCCGGGATGAAACTGTAAGTTGACATCTCTGTTCCCCCCCCCCAACACTGCCTAAATTTCTGGCAAAGTCCACACACAGTCCTAGGCACAGGAACGAGGGTCTGGCTCGTTTTTAAACAGAGCCTCCCTGGTTCCAAATTTGATAGGAAGGCCCCAGGCTTAGCCTTGGATGCTTCAGCTGCTATCCCAGCCGTTTGGGGGTGGTGGGACTTTCATTAGTGGGGCGGGGAGAGAAGCCTGTATCGCTCTCCACATGCCCAGAGGACCTGTCTTCTTTTTTTAAAAAAACACCCCATGTATTTTAGGGCCCGAGCGTAGGCTTTGGCAGCAAAATTGCAGTAAATAAACTTACGGGGAGCTGACAGCTAAATTATGTGGTGGAGCCTATTGAGGCTTTTACGGCACTTCAAGAAAGATAGTCCATTAACTTTAAAGGCCTCTAAATGAAAACGGGGCTCTTGATGAATTCTGAAACCAAGGGTGAAACCGATTTGCTTCTCCTCCAGTCGCTACCTAATAGGGGTAAAAATGATCATGATAATTAAGGTGTGTTCATGCAAGTGGGCTTCGTCTGTACCTCTTATCTCAGCCTGTGTGGCGATGGGTGCGGGGTTCCCTTCCCGTTTTTTGTTTTGTTTTGTTTTTGCCCGTTGGAGGTATTTGGAGAGGAGAGGCGTGAGATTCTCTCTTGACACCGTTCAAGAGGAATGCCCCGATTCTTCATTTATTAATTTTTTTTAAACAGCCCAAGAGGAATAAGAAGGCGAAATTACCATCACCTCTGTTGTGGGTGAACAGCCGTGATGACATCAAGGCAAAGGAATGGCTGTGGGTTTTGAGGACACCCGGAAAAGCTGAAATCTCTCACACACGGAGAGAGAGACATGAGGGCCCAGTTGCGTTATTGATCCGGCCATGGGCATGCTGGGAGGAAAGCTCACCCTCCAAGGGCATTCCCCCCCCTTCTTGCACGCTTTACGGGTGCACTCTTAAATGGAGAGTGTTTTCCATTAAAGCGCATTATGGTGTGGTTAAAGCTTTTGAGAAACAGGGGGGAGGAAGGGAGGAAGTTTTCTCAAATCCACACAGCTGGCTTTTAATCGGATGCTAAGCCGCTCTCTGAGTTCAAGAGGGCTTACTCCCAAGCAAACCCTGGCAACGCATTTGGCTTTGCCGCCTAAGCCATTTAAGGGTCTTGTTTACCCGGTCGGTTCTCCTGGGATAACACGGCCTTTCTCAGCTGCTCCGCCATGACAAGGCTCAAGGGGTGCAATGAAGTCAGCCGGGAGGTTCGTTGCCAAATTTAGAGGAAAACAAAGCGGGGAGGGGGTGATCCCCATTTCCATGGAATGTCTGTGGACATCATTCCCAGAGGATGGTGTCCCCTTTGGGGTTGGGGGGGGAAACGAATTGGAGATGGGGTGGGCTCATGGGAACCCATCTAATTAGCCTTCGCCCTCACTTGGACCAATTTAATGCGTTCCAATGGGAAAGAATTGTCGTTGTCTAGCAAAGATCGGCCATAGGAAAGCTGCTTTGCGAACTGCCAATCAGCTGTTTAAATAGCTGTCTTGCGAAGCGTAGGTCCCGAAAACACCCGTTTTGCGAGCGTGGAGGGAGCTGTCAAAATCGTCATCTAGCGAAAATCGATTTGCGAAGCAGGGACCAAACATTCTCCAGCGAAATTCCTCCATAGGAATCACTGTTTTGTGAATCGCTATAGCGATCACAAAAAGTCAGTGTCTAGCTAAAAGACTGTCATGCGGGGTAACTGTCTAGCGAGGCACCACTGTACCTGGTACCAGAAGGCAGGTGGAGAGGAGATTGTTCAGGTTTCCTGTAGCAGCAAATGTGGGTGCCGCCCCATTCAGGATCACCTCCTCAAGCTTGGGGTTCAATCGTTACAAGTAATGCAGTGAGAAATTACAGCAATACATTACAAATAATGTGACAAGTAGTTCCAAAGTTATGATCTGAGTGCAATTACTTACTTTTTATAAGTTGTTTTAAAGGGCATTTACAGGCATTTTTGGGTGTGCATGGGGAGGTATTTTCAGGTTTCACCAATGCTAAGTGGCAAGGGGAGTATGCTTTAATTTTGTCTTTTGCATTTTTTTGAAAGATTTGCAAGGTGTCATATCAGAATCAGCCACTAGAGGGAAACCACAGAATATTCCCTCTGTATTCCTTTTTTTTGAGATGCTGGTAACTGACAGAACAATCTATTGATGAAGCGCAACACAAGCAGCCTGAGACCAAAGAAGTAACACAATGACTTATTTTTAAAGAGATGCTTCAGGCTTCGCCTGGTCCGACGTTCTTACCCGTTGAACTTCCAGTGTCGAAGAGACAAAGATCTGAACATCCTGGGATTATCAGAACAGACAGGTAGAGGTGGATAGAGATAGCCTTAGAAATCCCCAGGACCCTGGTAGTTGGCATTCCAACTTCCCCTTGCTGAAGGAAGGCCTCCAAAGCAGCTAAACGTGTGGCCGTGGAGCATGGTTCTCGTAGCAAAAGGAACTCAGTGAAGAGGGGTGTGTGGATCATAGAATTGTAGAATCGTGGAGTTGGAAGGGGCCACTGAGGGCAACCCCCTTGCTCAAAGCAGGAATCCAGATCAAAGCAGATCGGAGAGACGGTGGCCCCGTGGTCTCTTGAATGCTCCTCCAGCGTTGGAGCGCTCAGCGCCTCCCGAGGTCATGGCTTCCACTCTCGTACTGCTCTGACAGTTAAGAAGTTTTTCCTGGTCTTCACCTGAAAAATGGGTTCCTGTAACTTGAGCCCATGATGATGTGTCCTGCACTTGGGGATGATGGAGAACATATCCTGTCCCTCCTCTGTAGGACTACCTTTCAAGTATTTGAAGAGTGCTGTCCTGTCTCCCCCTCCGTCTTCCCTCCTTAAGGCTAAACATGCCCAGTTCTTTCAGCCTTTCCTCCTAGGTCTTAGTATTCCAGCCCCTTTATCATCCTCATCACCCTCCTCTGAACTTGCACCAGTTTACTGCCATCCTCCTTCAAGTCTAGTGTCCAGAACGTCCCACTGCCGTCACCAGCTAAGGCTGGGAGACAGCCCTACCTGAATCTCTGGGAATAAATAATGCCCCAGCCTCCCCCAGTCTCATACCCTCTGGGATGAAGGACTACAGATCCCATCCTTGTGGAGTGTCCCCTTGCATCAGGCCATAGTGGAACTCTAGGGGGTTTCCCAAAGTTATCCTTTGAAACATGTGGGCCGGTTTTACAAGGCAACCCCATGGTGAC